TGGGGCTGGAAGGGATCTTACAGGTCATCCAGTTCCACCCCCTGCCATGGGCAGGGACACCTTCCACCACCTCAGGCTGCTCCAAGCCCTGTCCAATCTGCCCTTGCACACTTCCAGAGATGGGGCAGCCACAGCTGCTCTGGGCACCCTGTGCCAGAAGGAATTTCTATTCCAAGTGCTCTGAGGGTTTGGCTTTATCAGACAGGAGGCAGGTCCTGGCAGCATCACTGACCTGCTGGCAGATCATCTTTGTTGACAACTATTTCTTTGGTCATGTTGAAGCGGATTTTTTCAGTGCAAGGTGTCAGAGATTTAAGGTGCCGAGTCAATGCTCCCGATTCCCGGAAGCTTTTCCCACATTTCTTGCATTTGTAAGGTCTTTCATCTGGAAATGACAAGAATCAAAACAATCATGTCAAAGCCAGCTCTGCCAGGATCAGCTCTGTGTGACAGGCTGAAGAACATGTTCCACTTTCTACAGCACACAGCTGTTCTAATCCCAAACCTTCCACTGCCTCCCAGCACCCCCCAAAAGCTGGGGAGCTCAGTGGTCTCAGCTCAGCAGAACATGGGAAGCAGTAAGGAATTCCACTGGAAGGCAGATGGACAACCACAGAGAGCTCCAGTAACAAGGAACTCTTATTTGGGAGAACTCTTACCCGTGTGCCGCCGATGGTGTCGGATCAGAGATCCCTTTGTCCTAAAGGAAGTCCCACAGAGTTTACACTCATAGTCCTTCCTGCTGCTGTGAGTGATCATGTGAGCTTTGAGGATGCTGGCCTAGGGAAAGAATTTCCTTTAAGAGACATTCCAAATAGTTAACAAATTTTACATTCTAGCTGTTAAGAACAACAAGGCTCCTTGTGAAAGCAGAACTTCCCTCTGGGAAGTGTGGCAGGCAGTAAAGCACACTGTTACTGGGACTTGGGATCTCTTAGTTTACAGCCAGCCTAAAAGGGTCCCTAACCCACACCAGCAGAGGAGATACTCACGGTTTTAAATGTCTTCTGGCACAGCTCACACACGTATCGCCCCTCCTTGTTCACCTGCAGCTTGACCTTGATCAGCTCGGTGGAAATGTCCTGCTCCTCGGGGCTGCCCTGCTCCTCACCGACCTCCCCGTCCACGTGGCCATTCGGGTTCTCAAACACATGGTCTCCTGCTACAATGACCTCTTTGATGTGCCCACTGCCTGGGAAAAGGTGGGGAGACAGTGGGGTTCTTTACAGGCAGCAAACCATCTACTGCCTCAGCATGTCATGCAGGAAGGAGGAGAAAAGATATTTTAAACTTGCAACTCCGGTCTTTGCAACCTTCTCATTATGGCAGCATAAAACGGGCACTTCTGGAACAGAGTTTAACATCTAATTTGTATTAATTCGTTGTATTAATTAAGCTGAAGGAGAGTAGATTTAGAATAGAGATTGCAAAGGAATTGTTCCCTGTGAGGGAACAGGGTGCCCAGAGCAGCTGTGGCTGCCCCTGGACCCCTGGCAGTGCCCAAGGCCAGGCTGGACAGGGCTTGGAGCAGCCTGGGACAATGGGAGGTGTCCCTGCCATGGCAGGGGTGGCACTGGATGGGCTTTAAGGTCCCTCCTAACCCAACCCAACCCATCCCATGACTGTTCCATGACCTGATGGGGGAGGATTGCAGAACTACCTCCCAGAGCTCTGCAGGAACAGCCCCAAATGCCAGTGACACAGAGGTGTCACCCACCCAACCAGGACCCAAAGCCATCAGAAAAAGTCCCAGAGGAGCGAACAGAGCCCCCCGGGCTGCCAAGGCACCCCAGAGCTCACCTACGATGGCCGAGGCGTTGCTGATCTCCTCTGCTATGGAAGACGCTTCAACAACAATGTGAGCAACGGTGATGGACTCCTCGGCAGCAGGAACCACCTGCCGGCACAGAGCACGTTTCAGCAGGCACCTCCTGCCCGTGTGAACTCCCTCCCCTCCCACCCAGCGGGCCGTAGCACCCTGATCATTTCCAGCCCGGCTGGGAGCAGCCGCTGTCACCTTTTGTCCTTCGGGGCCGAGGAGCCCGGCGAGCGCGTCCGGAGGGCGCTGGCAGCCCTTCTGCAGCTTGTGCTGCACGAACTCCTGCAGCGAGCTGAACTCCGACTGGCAGCGCCCGCACTTGTGCACGTCATCCTCGTCTGCGGGGGAAAAGCGTCAGCGGGGCCGGGACACGGCACCGGGACACCGGGACACCGGGACACCGGGCCGGGCTCACGGGGAAGGCACCGCGGATGTCGGTGCGCTCCCCGCTCCCTGCCCCGGCATGGCAGCCGGCCCGGGATCCGGTTCCAGACCGGCCGAAGCAGCTCCCCAGCCTCTCCCGGCACCGGGATCCCGATCACACGGCGCCCCCGCCGCCTCCCGCCCCGCTGGCGGCCCCGTCACCCCGCGGGCCCGGCGGTGCGGCCGGGGCCCCGTGCGGGCGGTACCTTGCTCGCCGAAGGGCGGCGGGAGGCCGATGAGGGCGGCGGGGGCCGCGGAGGCCGCGCCCCGGCCCGGCCCCGCCGCCGCTGCCGTAAGCGCCGCCGGCCCCGCGCCCGTTGCCATCGCGGCCCCCGTGTCGCAACGCGCCGCAAGATGGCGGCTTTACGGCCGTGTCGTCATAACAACGGGACGGGGCTCGGCGGGGAACGCGCCCGCCCGTGCGGGGGTTCCGGGAGCCGGCGGGGCGGTGTCGGAGCACGGTGCCTGCGCTCCCCACGGTCAGGGCCGAGCCCCGGCGGAGCGGAGCGGGCCCCGGGCAGTCACCGGCGAGTTCCCGCGGATTGCCGAACGCGTTACCGAGCGAGCCCCGGGGCGCGCTGGCCAATAGCAGCGCGCGGGGGGCGGGCCCTGGGGCAGGGCGGCCAATGAGAGCGCGGCGCGCCGGGCGACGCACGGGAGGCCGCGGGGGGACACCGGGCGCCGGCTCCCGACGGGGAGGGCGTGGCCGCCGGCGCCGCCGCCCAATGGGGACGCGGTCCGCGCGAGGCGCGGCCAATGGGGAGGCGCGGGCGGCGGGCACGCGGGGCGGCGCGGCCAATGGGGACGCACGGGCGGCGGGCGCGCGGAGCGGCGGCGCGGCCATGGCGGACGCGGCGATGGCGGCGGACGGCCCGCGGCGCTGCCGGCGGCTGGAGGGCGAGGCGGCGCGGGCCGTGCTCGCCAACGCCGACACGCTGCTCTTCGACTGCGACGGCGTCCTGTGGCGGGGCGAGGCGGCCGTGAGCGGCGCGGCGGCGGTGCTGGGCAAGCTGGCGGCGGCGGGCAAGCGGCTGTGCTACGTGACCAACAACAGCGGGCGGACGCGCGCGGCCTACACCGAGAAGCTGCGGCGGCTCGGCTTCCCGCCCGCCGAGCCCCGGCACATCTTCAGCTCGGCTTTCTGCGCCGCCCGCTACCTGCGGCAGGCGCTGCCGCCCGGTGCCGCCGCCTACGTGCTGGGCAGCGCCGCGCTGGCGGCCGAGCTGGAGGCCGTGGGCATCCCGCACCTCGGGCCCGGGCCCGCCGCCCTGCCCGGGCCCGCGCCCGCCGACTGGGTGGCAGCTCCGTTGGACCCCGCCGTGCGCGCCGTGCTGGTGGGCTTCGACGAGCACTTCAGCTACGCCAAGCTGTGCCAGGCGCTGCGGTACCTCCTGCGCGGCGGCCCCGACTGCCTCCTGGTCGGCACCAACCGCGACCACCGCCTGCCGCTCGAGGGCGGCGCCGGCATCCCCGGTGCGCGGGGTCCCGGGCAGCGGCGGGTGGGCGCGGGGCTGGGCGGGCGGCTCTGCGGCTCCTCACGCCTCGCTGGTGTGTTGGTAAAACGGGAGAGGTTCCGCCGCAGCCTCGGGAAGGAACTTTCGCCCCTGGGATGTGGCAGAGCGCCGGAGCAGCTGCCCGGGGCGGAGAGGTCATGGGGGCTCCGGCTCTGGAATTCCAAACTCGCCTTGGCACGTTCCTGTGTCACCTAATCCAGGTGACCCTGCCTTGTAGGGGGGTTGGGCTGGATCATCTCCAGAGGTCCCCTCCAGCTGTCCCGGGATTCTTTGAGGCAGCCTGGGCGTCCCGGAGCCTTTCCTCCACAGCTTCACTGAAAGAGAGGAAATCCTTATTCATCCTTTACTTTTGAATAGGAGTTCTCTTTTGATGCTGCTGGTCGGAATTCCCACCTCCTGGCAGGCTTTAAGCACCACCTTCCCTGGGGCCCACTCGTCCCTTTGCCGAGGCGTCCATTCCCCGTGTCCTGAGTGGGTTTGTCCTGTCCATTCCCCGTGTCCTGAGAGGGTTTGTCCTGTCCATTCCCCGTGTCCTGAGTGGGTTTGTCCTGTCCATTCCCCGTGTCCTGAGCGGGTTTGTCCTGTCCATTCCCCGTGTCCTGAGGGGGTTTGTCCTGGCTCGTGTGGACACTGAGAGCCTTCTGCCCCTAATCCTGCTGCCTGTTCCCGCAGGGACAGGATGCTGAGGGTCACAGAGAGACCTTCTGTCCCTAATCCTGCTGCTGTTCCTGCAGTGATGGGGTGCCCGGTGAAGGTCACAGAGACACCTTCTGTCCCTAATCCTGCTGCTGTTCCTGATGCAGAAGGTCACAGAGACACCTCCTGCCCCTAATCCTGCTGCTGTTCCCGCAGGGATGGGGTGCCTGGTGAAGGTCACAGAGACACCTCCTGCCCCTAATCCTGCTGCTGTTCCCACAGGGACGGGGTGCCTGGTGAAGGCCGTGGAGACGGCGGCGCAGCGCGAGGCGTTCATCGTGGGCAAGCCCAACCGCTTCATGTTCGACTGCGTGGCCGCCGAGTTCCCGGTGGACCCCGCGCGCACCATCATGGTGGGGGACCGGCTGGACACGGACATCCTGATGGGCAACAGCTGCGGCCTCACCACGCTGCTCACCCTGAGCGGGGTGACGGCGCTGGACGAGGTGCGGGGCTGCCAGGACAGCAGCTGTGCTGCCAGGCACAGCCTGGTCCCCGACTACTACGTCGACAGCATCGCCGACCTGCTCCCGGCGCTGGGCGAGTAACGGGCCGGGAGCGCCCCGGGCAGTAACGCACGCACTAGCTACTCCCCGGAGTTAGAACCCTTAGCTTGTCTCCTCTCTGTCCTCTCGGTATGATTCTGTTTACATCTCGGTCTGAAATGCACTTTGAACAAAGGGGGCATTACAGGGGCTGGGGCTTGGCGCTGGGTTTAGTTTTGAATGCGTTGATCCAATGCTGGTGGTGCTCCAGCTCCTCTGGGCTGAGCTGGGGAGCTGGAGCTGGTTGATCTGAGGGGAAGGATCATGTCCTGGCCAGGCTGGGCCATGGATCAGCCCGGTTTGTTCAGGGAAATGACTCTTGGGATGTGCAGTAGCTCTGGTTGTGGTTGGAAACACTTTGGAGCTGGTGTTTGCCCTTGGGGTGACTCTTTTTCCCAGCTGGGGCTCTGTTGAGGGGCACAGCCCCACGTCAGCCCCACACAAATTCATCTCCTTTGTTTGACCACTGCACATTGCACTTGTAATGCAGACTGGGATGATCCCACACAATTCCAGACCTTGGCTGCTGCACACAGTGTCTGTCCAAGGTTGAGTGTGTGTAAAGCACATGTACACACAGGCACTCCCTGAGCATAAAGTTAGAGCAGAATATATTTAAATTATAAATAGAGTCTATAATAATATATCTTATTTCCCAGGAGGGAGGATGAGAGGAATGTACTTCACTGATTCAATTCTCCTAAACGGTTGCATTTGGTAATGCAGAGAGTCTGCAGCCATGCAGGACTGTGCCTCACTCCTGCTGCTTCCCAGAAATCACTGATCGATGCATACCGAGCTCCTGCACTTCCCTCAGCATCAATGAGCCACTTGCCTCGGCTTTAGCTGCACAATCCCAGTTCTGCTCAGTCCGAGGATGGATGTAGTGCCCAGGACAGCTGTCCTCAGGGAGCCCTGTGGGTCTGGCTGTGTGTGACAGTAGCTCGTGCTTCCTTCCCATCCCTGAGGTTCAGATCTTCCACGTGTGCCGGCAGGGGCCGGGCACGGTGGGTGGTGAGGAGTGCTGGCTTGCTCAGGGGTGATTCCATTTGATCTCCAGGTGGGACTGGGCAATGAGGGGCTCACCACAGGGTGATTTTTGTGCTGCCCGGACCCCACAGTGAAAGCTTTTGCGTTACAGAATTAATTGAAAATTATATATGCAAATAACATGCTTTTATTGCATAGATTCCAGTACCTACAGCTCAGTTTAAAGCACTGGTTTTCCTTCCTGTCCAGCTGAGGAGCTCGGGCAGTGTGGTGCCATTTCCTGCCTGGTAACTTGTCACCTTCTTTGTACAGCAATAACCCTGCAGTCCAGAGGGTCTCGGTGTTCCCAGAGCATTGGCTGAGCCTCTGAAAGGCTGTTTGTTTGTAATTTGGAGTTGTGGAAGGAAGTGTGGATAATCTTTTCTGCAAAGTCCCAGAGGCAGAACTTACCCTTGATTGGGTAACACGGAGATGCACATTATGGACTCACTGCAGCTCGAGTCTGATGTAACAGTGTGGGTTTGGATTCAGTCTCTGTTTCTGGTGCTTTTTGTGTCAGGATGTGTCAGGAAAAGGCCAGGAGGGAGTCCAGCATCCCTCAGGCAGCTCTGTCCCTGCTGGAGGCTCTCGCTGCCAAAGGAGCCATTGCCTGGGCTCAGGGATGCTGGAATGTGCTGGTGGCGTGCTTCAGTCGTGCTTCAAATCTCTCTTCTGACTTCCAAATGGTTCTTAATCCTCTACTTGAATTCCCATTAAACTCTCAAACCTGCTCTCCCCAGCCTTGTCTCACTGGTCTCGTCTGTGTGAGCTGTGGTGCAGCTGTGCCTTGGGAATCCTGGGCGTCAGGAGGGGTTTGGGAAAGGACCTCAAAGCCCGTCCAGTGCCACCCCTGCCATGGCAGGGACACCTTCCACCATCCCAGACTGCTCCAAACCCCATCCAACCTGACCTTGGGCAGTGCCAGGGACCCAGGGGCAGCCCCAGCTGCTCTGGGCACCCTGTGCCAGGGCCTGCCCACCCTTCCAGGGAAGAGTTTCTTTCCAACACCTAATCTAACCCTCTGGCATTCCCCTTTGCCCTGCCCATGGCCTTGGCCAAAGTCCCTCTCCTTTCTTCTGGGCTCCCTTCAGCCACTTTGTTCAGCCTTGGGTTGTGCTTGATAGGAAAATGTCCACAACCTGTGTTTTCCCTGGATAGACATCACATGGAGGAATTCTCGGCTTTTCCTTGCCTCCACACCTTTGTTGTGTCTGGCTGGCAGGTCTGGAACATTCTGGGGGCTCCTGGACTGCTCGGGGTCTGTGTGTTTGGGGAGCATTGCTGGCACAGGGACGTTCTCAGGACAGGACACGGGTGGCTGTGAGAGCAGTGCAGGCTGTGGCGGTGACTTTGTGGCACAGCCCTCATCCCTTTTCCTCGGAGGGTGGCACAGGTGTGTCTGTGCAGCCCAGGAACAGCAGGATCAGCACCTGGCTCCAACAGCATCGAGTTCCCGCTGAAATGTGGGAATTTGGTCATTTGATCTCTCAAAGAGCCTCACCTGGGCCCGTGCTGGGCCGTGCCAGCCCCGGGGGCACACAAAGGCCCCGATTGTGGCTCCTGCCCATCCCGGGCTGAGCAGGAAGAGCCGTGCCGGGCACTGACAGCAGCGCTCAGCTCCCGCTGCGGCCTCAGGTTTCCCCCTCCCGCGGAGCCCTTTGGCTGCGAGCACAGGTATTTATGGCCCAGGAACACACCTGCAGCTTTGCCAGGTGTGCCCGCAGCCGGGACCATGCCCAGCCTGGGCGCGGGCAGGAGGCAGAGCGGCAGCAGCAGCCGGGTCCTCGCCTGAAGTGGAGGATGGAAGGAGGGGACGGTGCCGGCCGGGCTGGCCCTACAGTGAGTATTCCCTGTCCTACAGCGAGTATTCCCTGTCCTGCAGTGAGTATTCCCTGTCCTGCAGTGAGTATTCCCTGTCCTGAAGTGGGTATTCCCTGTTCCTACAGCGAGTATTCCCTGTCCTACAGCGAGTATTCCCTGTTCCTGCAGTGAGCATTCCCTGTTCCTGCAGTGAGTATTCCCTGTTCCTGCAGTGAGCATTCCCTGTCCTGCAGTGAGTATTCCCTGTCCTGCAGTGAGCATTTCCTGTCCTACAGTGAGTATTCCCTGTTCCTGCAGTGAGCATTCCCTGCTCCAGCAGTGAGCATTCCCTGTTCCAGCAGTGAGCATTCCCTGTTCCATCAGTGAGCATTCCCTGTCCTACAGTGAGTATTCCCTGCTCCATCAGTGAGCATTCCCTGCTCCATCAGTGAGCATTCCCTGCTGCAGCAGCTCCTGGGCAAAGGCTGTCTGTGTCCTTCCTCTGGACAGACGTGACAGGACATGGAATTTCCAGGTTGGACAGGGCTTGGGGCAGCCTGGCACAGTGGAAGGTGTCCCTGCCATGGCAGGGGTGGCACTGGGTGGGTTTAGGGTCCCTTCCAAAGCAAACCATTCCAGGATTGCATGATTCTCTCCCAGAGCCTGCTCTCCCCTGAGGGGGCAGAGCTCCTGCCATTCCCTCGGGTCCTGGTGGGGTTCTGCTGATCCCCAGCACCCCCAGCTCAGCTCCTGCCAGGAGCTGCTGCCGGCTGGGCTGAGGCACCTCAGAGTGCCGGGGTTTACCCGGGATGAGCTGCTCGGGAACCAGGGCAGGGATGGGCATGAGCTGTGCCCTGCCCAGGGCTGGCAGCTGCTGGAGTTCTGCATCCGCACCTTTCCCACCGGAGGGAATTCCACTAGTTATGGAAAATCTGCCACTTACCGCAGGGCTGGGCTCTGCTCTGCTGGAATTAATAGGATTTCAGATAGATGCAGCTTCAACTCACTGTTTTTCTGAGGGAATAATCTGGAAGTTCCCGTTTCCAATAAAGATCCGTAACTGTCCCAAGGCTGGATGAGCCCATCCTCGTGCAGCTGGAGCACATGTAATCCTGGGCATGGATTGAATTTCTCTGTCCTTCAGAGGATTGAGAAACAGGTTATTTTTTAAATGTGGGCTGTGTTTGAGATTATTGAAAGCACATTTTCTGCTTTGTAAAAATCCCGTTATGTGCCATGAAGCTAAATTTAATTGCTTCAATATAAGAATTAAAGTAAATTAATAGAGCCAATAGAAATGTCACAGCGCTGCCAAGCTCTTTTCCTTGGTCTCATGGAGAACAATTTAGGAATAAAATCCAGCACAGAGCAGTGCAGGGAGGGGGGGTCACTCCACACAGGGTCTGATTCCAGTGCTGACTGTCCCACTGGGGATTTCTGCTGTAAACCACAATAATTGAATTTGTTGTTCCCCGTGTCTGGAAAGCCGCTGCTCCAGCCCTGCCCTGGGGGCTTTGCAGCTTTCCTGGCTGTGCAGTGCTGGTTACCAGGATGCTGGATCTGGAATTCTGCACTCTGGGATAAAGGCTCCGTTATTCCAGCTGCTGCACTCCAACCAGTCTGCACAAGGCTTTGTGGCATGAGCTGGAAACTTGTTTGATGAGGAAGAATTGGCAGAAGGGTCAATTTTAACTCCTGTTCCTCCTTCTTTTGCCCTGGCTCCCAGGACAGGAGGGCCACAGCATACTTCCCAGCTCCCTCCAGGACCTTCTGGATCATCTTGTCCGTTGCCTTGTTGTTTTTTGCAGTTGTTGGTGTCACTGTCGTGGGGGTTCTCAGCTTCTCCCCCAGCTCTGCCCAGGTAAGGGATGCTGATCTGGGCAGGAAACCTCCTCCCACCAGCCCTGGGCTGTGTGGGAAGCAGCTGCCAGGAGGGATGGGTGGGCTGAGCTCTGGCTGGATCAGCCCCATGACAATGCAGGGAGGTGCTGGCAGGCTGCAGGCAGGGCTGGGAGTCCCCTGGCCCTTTCCTCCAGCAGCTGGTGCCTCTGGCACGAGGGGCACTGGGGGTGAGGAGCTGTGGGTCAGAGCCCCCTCCTCTCCACGGCTCAATCAGAGGAGCAGGGGCCAGCCCGGGGCCAGCCCGGGGTGTTGGTGGGAGATGCTGCACACGGAGCAGCTGGTGCTGGGTGCTGCCCTCCTGCCCCTCGTGCCAGGCTGGCTCCCAGCTCCTCCGAGTGACGCTCCAGGGCCAGCAGGACCCGCTGAGGAACCAGACAGCCGTGGTGGACCAGGCCAGGAGCACCGTCACCTACTACATCACCTCGCAGAGCAACCTGAGCGCCGTGGTGCTGTACGACAGCAGGAACGTGAGTGCTGGGGCGCCTCTGCCTCCCCAGCTCCTCTGTGCTGCCTTCCTCTGCACCTTTATCGTGAACACAGAGCAGAGCAAAGGACAGTGTCCACTTCAGGGGTTTCTGGGACAGGGTGGGCATGTGCTGCCTGCTCCAAGGGGCACGTCTGTCCACAGGGCTACGTGTGCTACAAGCCGCTGGAGCAGCGAGCCTGCTACCTGAGGAGGATGGACCCCTGGGACCTGCAGACCCTGCAGACGGCTCTCAACACCTCTGAGCACAGCGTGAGCAGCTGCTGCAGCATTCCTGGGATAGCTGGGGGATGGACTGAGCTTTGCACAGGGCTGCTGAGCGTTGTCCCCTGTGTGGGTTTGCAGGAGTGACTCTCCACCCCCAAGGAACCAGGGCAGGGGTCTCCCAGCCAGGGGGAGCAGTGGCAGCCCCTGTCCTGAGGGATTCATTGCTCACAGGAGCAGAGCTGTGCCCCCAGGCTGGGCTCTCAGCCAGCTGTGAGCAGCAGCTCCTGGTTTATCCCTACCCTGATTCCTGTGGGAAGCAGCCTGGGGCAGGGGGATGTGTCCCATGGAGGTGAATAGCAGGGCTCCTGCAGTACCTGCTCCCACTGGATTCTGTTACCTGCTCAAAAATCTGGGGGAGGAAAAACAAAGGGGGTTTGTTACCAACTCCCAGGGAAGAAAGTTGGAGGCAATCATGTATACGGACCCTCGGAACAAAGTGTCAGTGGATGCCTGGGCAGGGGCAGATTCTGTTTCCAGAAGACAGAAAGCCACATTTTTTTGTGCCCCTGCCATCTGCTATCCATTTCCTCAGCAGCTCCTGGGGGTCCTTAGTCCTCACCTCACTCCCAGAGAAGTGCAGGGACACAGGCTCCCAAAAGGGATGCAGGGAGAGGAAAGCACCTGCCCAGCCCTGAGGCTCCTAAATGCAAGTAAAAGTGGGTAGTGCTGGGATTGGCAGCAGCCACAGACAGAAAATGAGAGCTGGGGCAGGGCAGCTGGCAGGAGAAACCTGCTGGGCTGTAGAGCACGGCTGGGGTGCCCTGGGAGCCAGAGAAGAGCTCTGGGGCCTGAGGGACAAAGTGAGGAACCAGCAGGGCCATTTCTTTCAGGCTGAGCAGCTGCTGCACCCCAACAACCAGACCAAGTTCTACCGGGAGTTCCTGGGCATTGTGGCAGGGGAGCAGCTGGAGCCCAGGGGCCTGGGGGAGGCTGTGCAGACCCTGTGTGAGCACACCTCCATCTTCTGGGTGCGCAGAGGGCACGGTAAGTGGGGCGCTGCCCTTGGCAGGGGAAGCTGCAGCTTTTCTAGCACCTCTAAGAGGATCAGGCTCTGCTGCAGCCCAGGACAGGCTGCCAAGGCCCAGGACAGGGACGGGTGACCTCTAGTGCAAAATCAGGCCATTGTTCACCACCCCTGAGTGCTGGCTAGTACCCACCCCCTGTCCTGAGCCGTGGCACTGGGATGGGCTCTGAGCTGCCCCAGCAGCACAGCCAGCACACAGAGCTGTCCCCTGAGACATCACTGGTTAATCCCTGTCACCTTCACCCTCAGCCAAAGCAGCCTGCTGAGCTGTCAGCCTGCTCCATCTGACTCCAGATTGAATAAGAAAGGTCATCCCCTGAGGCTTTCCTCTTGTTCAGCTCCCCGGGGACTCTACAGCTGCAGGACCAAAGCATCCCCAGGGACTCTGCAGCTGCAGGACCAAAGCATCCCCGGGGACTCTGCAGCTGCAGGACCAAAGCATCCCCAGGGACTCTGCAGCTGCAGGACCAAAGCATTGCTCTCACTGCTGTCCTTGCTCCTTGGCAGGCCCGGGCAGGCAGCGCCTCATCTACCTGTGCATTGACATCTGCTTCCCCAGCAACATCTGTGTCTCCATCTGCTTCTATTACCTGCCCGAGTAAGTGCTGCAGCCACGGCCGCCCTCTCTGCCCTCACACTTGAACTGGATTCCTGAAAAGCCTCTGACTTCCACGAGGAAGGGAACACCTGCAACATCCCCAGAGCTTCCTGCTGATTCCGTGCTGCGGGTCAGGAGAGCTTAGAGAAACAGGATCAGGAGAGTTTAGAGAAACAGGAGGCCTCTGCTCAGCACTGCCAGCACAGACACTGCAGCTCTGCTCCAGGGCTGTGCCTCGTCCGTAGGAATTAGGAGACCCAGGCCCAGAGGTATCCCGGGAAGCAGCTGGAGTTTTGGGGCTCCAGGCTCTGTTCAGCACAAGGTGGTTGTTGTTACACTTGGGGGGTGGTTGGCTTTAGGAGAGCAGCTCTCCAAGTCACTCTGTGAAACACTTTGAATAAAGGGATTGCAAACCAAGACAAGAGCTGCTTCTCCTCTTTGGTCAGCCTCTCCCATCACTGGCAAAGGCTGATTTTTATTTTTCCCCCACTCTGGGGTACAGGAACATCCAGAGCTGTCAGCAGCCAATGCCCCAATGCAGCTGAACTGTACCCGTGTCCCTGCAGTGGGACCATGCCTCCCTGTCCCACTCCCTCCCTCAGGGCCACACACGTTTCAGCAATGTGCTGCCTGGAGCTGCAGCCTGGTCTCACCCCAGGCAGCTGCAGCTGCCCTGTCAGAGCCCCAGCCCTCTCCGTGCAGGAGGGGATGGGTACAGAGCGTGTCCCAGGCTCTGGAGAGGGTCTGGCAAGGCAAGGGGAAACAAGCAGAGGTCCTGTCCTTGCCACAGGTGGCCGTTACCCCAAGACGCTGTCATTGAAGGCCAGGCACACCACGGCTTTCTGGTGACCACTGTATTCCCTCTTGATCTCTCCTGTCTCCACACACCACAGTCTGGCCAGGTTATCAGAGGAGGCTGGAACACAGAGTGAAAAGAAGAGTCTATTACCTTTTAAGCTTCTTTTTTACTATTATTCTAAGAAATATCTTGCTTCATTCAGGCATCCTTAGGGCTGGTGATGACCAGCAAGGCAGAGCAGCTCAGTGCATTTCTCTGGGGTTGGTTTCATTCTTTTGGAGAGCAGTGAGTGTGGAAATGACCACAGGTGTGTTCAAGGGACTAACAGGCTGTGAGCTGAAGAGCACAGCTGGAGCTCTCCTCTGCAGTTCCAACAGCTGCCCCACTGCAGCAGCACAAAATGCTCCAGTCAGCAGAACTGGCTGCTCCCACCTCACAGCTCTGTGCCCCAGGCTCTGGCCATGTCCCAGCCAGGGTAAGTGGTCAGGCCTGGCTGCTGCAGGGCCCTGGCACAGCCCAGGTGGTGCCTCACCTGTGACGATGTACTGGGAGTCCCCGGAGAAGGCGCAGTCCCACATCCAGCCCCGGGATGTCTCCCCAGGGTTGTTGCTCTTAATGCTCAGCTCTGTCATCAGAGAGAAGTTTGAAGTCCTCCAGATCTTGCACGTCTGATCTGCAGAACAGGTGGCCAAGAGCCTGCAAGAAGGAGACATGTGAGGGCAACCTCATCAGTCACTGTCCCCCTGTGGGCCTCTGGTTACCACAGAGCTGGGCCAGGGCCAGTGCCAGCCTGGAGAGCTGCCCCCATTGCAATCAGATCTCCTTACAGCTGCGCTGTCTGATTTAGCAGATTCCAGCTGGACAGACTGAGGGAAGGAGCTCACACTGCAGCAGCTGCAGAACAGCTCATGGCTGCAAACTTTGCTGAGCTCAGGGAGCACGAGTGGGACACCCCTGACAGCAACACCCTGGTGCCACATCCCCTGCCCCCCGTCCTGCTCCCCCTGGGGACCTGCAGTGTGGAGCCAGCAGCAGCCACAGCTGGAGGCACAGCTGGAGGCACAGCTGGAGGCACAGCTGGCCCCTGCCTGCCCCAAAAGGCCCATGTTTGCCCTGGGAGGGAGGTGAGGGGCTGCACACTCACGTGGAGTCGGGGCTGAACTTGCACTGCAGGGCGTAGCGGTTGTGCGCCGGGATCTTGGTCTTGGGGATCAGCTGCGTCACCTCCTCGCCGATGCCGCCCGTCAGGTTCCACACGTAGCAGTGACCCTGCAGAGGCACAGCGGGAGCTGTGCCCGGGCTGCTGGATGCCCACCCAAACCCAGCCCAGCTGCCCTGCCAGCCCATCCGGGAGCTCACCGAGCTGTTCACGGCCGCCATGTAACTGGCATCGGGGTCGATGTGCACCGAGTTCACCGACACCTCGGGCTCGGGGATGAGCTGCTCGTTGTGGTCAGTCTTCAGGTCCCAGATGTGGATGGCCCCGCTCTGGTCGCCCACGATCAGCTCTGCCTGCAGGGCACACGGCCGTGTCTCTGTGGGCACCGTGAGCAGCAGCCTGGAGCTGGCACCCACGTCGTGCCCTATGGATATTCTCAGTTGCATCAGAGAGAAAATGAGAGAGATTTCTACCAGGCTAAGCCTGGGAAAAAGTCCAAGAGGAATGTAAACTATCTATTATCTCTCGTTCTGTTCATATTGTTTATAGATATGTTCTACCACCATGTGCTATTCATAGTGTAAAATGTTTTTACTTTAAGACCAATGAAATTAGTCTTCACAATGCTCTCTATAAAAGAGAAACGTACTTGTTAATGAAGTTCATTCTTTACCTTCTAAACTTAGAGTCTCATCATGACAGTGCCCCTGCAGCAGCACTGCAGCCGTGCTCTGGGGTTAAGCAGCACGGTCCTGTCCTGCCTCCTGCCTCCCCAGCTCAGGGCTGTTTCACACCCTGCCTGTCCCAGCCGGCTGCTGACTCCCGTGACACTCTACAAAAGCCTGCTTCCCTCCCCAGAAGGGTTTGCTGATTTTCTAAGCCCCAGAGCAAACAGAGCTGTCCCGCTTCCAGGGCTGTGGCACAGCCACAGCAGCCAAGTGGTTTTCAGCATGTCTGAGAGGCAGCATTAAGGGGCAGCTTGGCCACTGAACAACTGAAGCACTCAAGGGTGCAGATACCAGAAAAACACAACCTGAAGTGGGTTTTTCCTCTCTCTCCTCCCTTCTCACGGGAAGGACAAGAGCCAAGGGCAGGAGTCCTGGCTCTGATCCCGTGCTCAGGGCAGAAGACAATGCTGGCATGTCTCCACTCAAAGCAGGCCTTTATCGACAGCCCTGCGCTGTCCATAATTTTAGCAGAATCCCTAGAGGAGATCAGGTCATCAGGCACAGCTAATCCTGTCCCTGGGAGCAGAGGCTGCTTCCAAGGAGACAGACACCACTCAATGCATTTATCTGACTGCACAAAAGTCTCTTCTGAGCTCCTCAGCCTCCTCTCAGCAGGTGTAAATGATGAGTCCAAAGTTTTCATGGCTTTACTCAGGCAGTGAGGAATCTCTGGATAATTGGATCAGCATCTCTGCAGAGGGAACTGCAGAGCCACGGAACTGCCCGAACAAATGCTGCCACCTTTGGTCTAATTAACCACCTTCTGCTCACAAAGCAACACGCTGCACCTCAGCAGCACCGTGCTCAGGGATTATTTCATATCTAAGACCTATGTTCAGCAACATTCATTTAACACAACACACTCTCACAGCACTGACACTACAAGAATGTGGATTGTCTACATGATTTGGGTAGTCTGGTCCAAATAACCCATCTCAAATTTTGCCTGAAATTCCTGATTTGTAAAATTAAACCTTTGCCAAATGAAACGCAAAGGAACATTTCCATGACTCAGGGCTTTACAGAGGTTTGGACGGCCCTGTCTGCAGGCAAAACCACAGTCCTGCAAGCCCAGCCCAGCCATTAGCACTGACTGATCCCTATTGATTTCCCTGCTCCTGCTCCCTTCAGCCTCTTCAAGTGCCCCACTCTCCCTCTGCTCATAACAGCTGCTGAACCCACTGGGGAACTTCAACCAAACCCCACCTGAAGGGAATCAATCACAGCCAAAGGCCCCAGGATGCTTTTCCCTGGCAGTGTTGTCACCCTCAAGCTCCCCAGCTGCCCTCACTCTTCCAGCTTTGCTCCCATCACACCCCCACGGGGGCAGAGCCCACTGCAAGGGCGTTTCCTCCCGTGGGATGAGCTCAGTGCAGCCCCTGTGCTGTCCCTTTGTCACAGCCACCAGGTCAGCAGCACAAACACATCGTGTGAAGCCCCCAGCCCATGCTCTGCTGTACCCCATCTTCTGCTGGGGTACATCTCTGCAGCCCCTCAGGTTTACCCAGAGGTGACACAGGAACAGGGTGCCCAGAGCAGCTGGGGCTGCCCCTACATCCCTGGCAGTGCCCAAAGCCAGGCTGGAGGGGGTTTGGGATGGTGCAAGGTGTCCCTGCCGTGGCAGGGTGGGATGGGATGAGCTTTAAGCTCTGTTCCTCAGGATTCTCTGAGCTGGGAACTCCAGAGGAGGCAGCTCCTCACCTGGTTGGGGTGCAGGCAGACACAGTTGATGGGAGCGTTCACCTGGAAAATGCGCTGGCACTGGAGGTTCCGGGACCTGTGACACAGCAGGGGAGGGGTGTTCAGGGGTTGTGGGACCTGTGACACAGCAGGGGAAGGGTGCTCAGGGGTTGTGGGACCTGTGACAGAGCTAAGGAGGGGTGCTCAGGGGTTGTGGGACCTGTGACACAGCAGGGGAAGGGTGCTCAGGGGTTGTGGGACCTGTGACAGAGCTAAGGAGGGGTGCTCAGGGGTTGTGGAACCTGTGACAGAGTGAGGGAGGGGTGCTCAGGAGTTGTGGGACCTGTGACAGAGCAGGAGAGGGGTGGTCAGGGGTTGTGGGACCTGTGACAGAGCGAGGGAAGGGTGCTCAGAGGTTGTGGGACGTGGACAGAATAAGGCAGGGGTGCTCAGGGCTCCCGGGGGCGCTCCCGGGCCGGGGAAGCCCCGGTGCCCACCGGAGGTCCCAGATGCGGGCCATGCAGTCCTCCCCGCCCGTGTACATCCAGCGGCCGTCCTCGTGGAACCCCACCGAGGTGATGTTCTTGCTCACGCCGTCGTAGTTGATGACGGGGTTGGGGTTGTTGGAGTTGAGGTCGTACATGCGGATGTGCTGGTACCCTGCGAGCACCGGGCAGTGCCTGAGCCCCGGGCAGTGCCTGAGCCCCGGGCACAGGCTGAGCACCGGGCACAGGCTGAGCACCGGGCACAAGCTCAGCACCGTGCAGAGGCTCAGCACCGCGGTTCAGCACCGGGCAGTGGCTCAGCACCGTGCAGCGGCTCAGCACCGTGGCTGAGCACCGGGCACAGGCTCAGCACCGTGCAGCGGCTCAGCACCGCGGCCGTGCACCAGCCCGGCAGGAGCGCTCACCTGCGGCCGCGATCATGCTCCGGTCCGGCGTGATCTCCAGCGCGTTCACCTGCTGCGGGCGCCGTTAAGGTCGGTACGGAGCATCAGGCGGGCCCGGCCCCGAGCCGCCGGGGCGGCGGGCACGGAAGGAAGGATACGGAGTCCTGGTGCTGCACCGTGCGGGTGCAGATGCCGCTGTGCGCCTGCCAGAACCGCACCGTGTGGTCGTAGCCGGCCGTGGCCAGGATGACCGGGTCGCTGCCCACCGTGCCCTGCGCCGCGTTCATGGTGCCGCCGCGCTCGGGGGGCTCCCTAAAGCCTGCGGGGCCGCTCTCAGGCCGCGGGGTGTCGGCGTGGCCCGCGGGTGTCCCTCAGCCCCGCTCCCGGTGCCGCTCCCGGTCCCCTCCCGGTCCGCTCCCGGTCCCCTCACGGCTCCCGCTTCTGCGCATGCGCGCGGCGCCTCCCGAGCGCGCAGCGTCCGGCGGGAGTGCGCATGCGCGGGAGCGGCGACTGGGACGGACCATGGCCCCGGCGTGGGGGGGCGGCGGGCGAGACCACGGAGCGCGGCGGGGGGAGAGCGCGTGCGCTGCAGTGCCGCCAGGGGGCGCAGTGCTGGAAACGGGACGTGGGACGTGGGATTTGGGATTTGGGATTTGGGATTTGGGATTTGGGATTTGGGATTTGGTATATGGGATATGGGATATGGGATGTGGGGTATGTGATTTGGGATTTGGGGTGTGGGATATGTGATTTGGGATTTGGGGTGTGGGATATGGGATATGGGATGTGGGATATGGGATTTGGGATTTGGGATGTGGGATATGGGATATGGGATATGGGATTTGGGATCTGGGATGTGGGGTATGGGATATGGGATGTGGGATATGGGATTTGGGATTTGGGATATGGGATATGGGATGTGGGGTATGGGATATGAGATATGGGATGTGGGGTATGGGATATGGGGTGTGGGATATGGGATGTGGGATAAGGGATATGGGATATGGGATGTGGGATAAGGGATATGGGATATGGGGTGTGGGATATGGGATGTGGGATATGGGATATGGGATATGGGGCATGAGATACAGGACATGGGACACCCACTGGGCACAGGGCACACACTGTGTGCCAAGTTTGGGACACAGAACATGGGACACAGAACATGGGACACACACCGGGAACACACCGAGCACGGGACACGGGACACGGGCACACACTGGGCACACACCGGGCACGGGACACGGGACACGGGACACGGGACACGGGACACGGGACACGGGACACGGACACACACCGGGCTGCAGGCACAGAGCACACACCGGCCATCGCTGGGCACGCACCGGCCCCTACCGGGCACTGGGAATCGACACCGGGCACGCACCGGGCACCGCGGAGCCACCCCGGGGCCGCCCATCGTGCTGGTGCCTCCCGGTCAGGGCGGACGGCAGCTCGGCGCTCTGCCGGTGCTCCCGCCGCACGCGTGTGGCACCGGGGCGCTGGGCACGGTGCCCGCTGAGCACGGTGCGACCCTCCTCACCCGCCGCACCGGCGGGCACCGGGCCCTTTAAGAGCGGCGGCGGCCGTGCCCGTTCCCGTTCCCGTTCCCGTGCCCGTGCCCGTGCCCGTGCCCGCTGCCGGCGGTGCCCGCGGCCGCCCCGCACCTGCCGGTAAGCGCCGGTGGGGACCGGTACCGGGAGGATGCGGGAATGCTCGGGGGGGCGCAGGGCCCCGGTGCCGCAGAGAAGCCCGGGGAGGATGCAGGGATGCTCGGGGGGATGCAGGGATGCTCGGGAGGGTGCAGGGATGCTCGGGAGGATGCAGGGATGCTCGGGAGGATGCAGGGATGCTCGGGGGGATGCTCGGGGGGATGCAGGGATGCCCGGGAGGATGCAGGGATGCTCGGGGGGATGCAGGGATGCTCGGGAGGGTGCAGGGATGCTCGGGAGGGTGCGGGGATGCTCGGGGGGGTGCAGGGATGCCCGGGAGGGTGCAGGGATGCTCGGGGGGATGCAGGGATGCTCGGGGGGGTGCAGGGATGCTCGGGAAGGTACGGGGATGCTCAGGAAGGTGCAGGGATGCTCGGGGGGATGCTCCGGAGGGTGCAGGGATGCCCGGGAGGGTGCGGGGATGCTCGGGAGGGTGCGGGGATGCTCGGGGGGATGCAGGGATGCTCGGGAGGGTGCGGGGATGCTCGGGGGGATGCAGGGATGCTCGGGAGGGTGCAGGGATGCCCGCGGAGGGTGCCGGTGTGCCCGGGGCCGCAGGGGTGCCAAGCAGAGCCCGGAGGGTGCCGTGGAGAGCGGCAGTGCCCAGGGTGTCCTTGGTGTGGGGCGTTGTGGGGTGTGCCGCGTTTGCGGGGTGCGGGGGGTGCCCCGCAGCACAGAGGGATGGGTGGGCTGTGGGAAGGGTCCCTTGTGCCCAGAGGCTGCTCCGTGGGTGCTCCCGGGAGGGACCGGGATGGGACAGGGAGCAGCTGTGCCCAGGGATGAGGGAACCCCACAGGGACCTGTGGGGTGCAGCCCCGCCACCCCTGGCGAGGGGCAGCTCGTCCTGGGGTTGGCACAGGCTGGCAGCACGGGCTGGGCACGGCCAGGCTGGCCATGGAATGATCTGGAAGGAGGTGAGCGGGGGTACCGGGGGTGCCGGGGCACGGGGGTTCACCGTGGAACCACCGGGGAGCACCGGAGCGGGGCTGTGGGCAGCGGGGGGGCACCCGAAACCCTCGCTGCCAGCCCACGGTGGCACCTGCCACCCCCGGGACACTCGGCTCCCTGCCCCGCACGGCCCCTGCCACCCCCGGGCTCAGGTTTGGGTGGGTTTGCTCCCACCCTCCCCTCCGGGGGGCTCGGGCAGGTAAGCGGGGCTGGATGAGGGGGGCTGGCAGCAAAGCCCACCCTGGGGGCAGGGAGGGGGCCGGGGCAGCGCCGGCCCGGCGGTGGCAGCAGCGGATGCGAGGTGACAAATCCAGCGGGTGCTGGCGGCCAGTGCCGGGTTAGAGAGGTGGCATCCATGGGCCGAGCCCTCGCTGCCCAGGGATGTCCCCTCGGGACTCCCCCAGTCCGGCCAGCGCCCATCCCTCGCCCTGGCTGTGCCCGGCAGCTCCAGCCCTGAGAAACTGCCCTATTTAAATAAGATACCGTGCATTAAAAACACCGAATCCTGGCGAGCTGACAGCGTCTGTCTAAATATTTATCCCTGTTCCGATCAGGCGCTGTGTTCCCATGACAGCGCCATTAGCACTTGGCATATTTCTGCCCTTCCTGGGTGCTGGGCTCCCCGTGCTGCGTGCCCAGGGGCCACTGCCCCCCTCCCGCGTGCCCTCGGTGCCTTTCCGTGCACCCAGCGGTGACCCCTGGGCTGGCAGACCTCTGCAGCCTGGCACATCCCTGCTGGAGCTGCCAGGAATATCCCGAGCTGGGCACGGCAGGGAGAGGGAACCACATTTGTGCCCCGTGGCACAGGAGCTGCAGTGCCACGAGGAAGGGGTGCAGTGCTCCCCAAAAACCGCCTCCTGCTCCTCCTCCTGCCCACGGGCACCGAGGGACCGGGTACCCGCGGGCACCGAGGGACCGGGCACCGGCGGGCACCGAGGGACCGGGCACCGGCGGGCACCGGGCCGTGGGGAAGGAGCGGGGATGCTGCAGCTCCTGCCCGTCGCTGTCCCGCCCTGTGACCGGGCCTTGCTCTGGGCACAGCGGGTCCCGCTGCGGGGGCTCCGGGGGGCTCAGCCCCGGGGTCGGGAGGCACCGGGGCTGTGTCCGGGACCGGAGCGCGGCGGCTCCGCGCGGCTCTCCCGGTGCCGCCGCCGCTCCGGTAACACAAACAAACCCCTCGCCATCAGCTGAGCCGCTTGGGCACCCGCAGAGCTGCCAAAATCTGCTTTTCGCTTCCCCAATCTGCCGGAGGAGCTGAATTTAACCCCGAGCTCGGCTGTGTTTGGCTGCAGCTCACCAGGAGCGGCGGCGGTTCCGCGGGGCCGGGGGGGCTGCGCTGCCCTGGCCGGGCCTCACCGAGCCCTCCAGAACCGGAGAAACCGGAGAAGGAAGGGGCAGAAGTGCCTGAAAGTGGCTCCCAGGAGGATCCGCGCTGCCTCTCGCGCGGCCCCTGCGGGTGCCAAGGCTGCCACCCTCACCGTGCCGGTGCCATCCCGGTGCCATCCCGGTGCCATCCCGGTGCTGGCATGTGCCCGGGTGGCTCCCAACCACCTCTTCCCTCCCCGCAGGGATGCACCGTGCCCAGCCCGTGATGCCAGCCCACCCACCCACCCTGTGACACGGCCCCCGGCTCGGGGGGACCCTCAGCCGGACCGGACGGGACCCCGGTGGGGACCAGCCCTGCAGCCACCGCCCCGGTCCCCCGGGCCCGGCCTCACCCGTGCGGGCAGAGGGAGAGGCGGAGCCGGCCCTGGCCCCGCGCTGGGCCACACGAGGTAGGAGGGACACGCGGGGCACTGCCACACGTCCCCGATGGGCAGCAGGCTGGCCGGAGGGGCTGCCCCCATGTCGCCTTTCTCTGGGTGTCGTGCTGCCCCGGGCAGGGCAGCAGGGCACGGTACGTGGGGCTGGGCGGGCTCACCTGCGTTGGGGTCCCTCCGGCCACTGCTGGCCATGGAGTACCCCCCGAGTGTGTCCCCAGAGCCCCTAGAGATGGCCTTCCAGCGGAGCCACCGGCTGAACCTGCTGCGCCTCGTCGTGCTGCTCCTCGTGGCCTTGGCTGGCATCAAGTTCCTCTTCCGTGACAGGTGAGGTGACAGCAGGACCCCGGGGTGGGGCCGGAGTCTGTGGCACCCCCTGGGCTGTGTTTGTGTGGTGCCTGGTGCTGGGGGCAGCTGGTGCCCCCATAACCCCACGGACACCCCCATCCCTGCCCCACTCCCTGCAGCTTCACCCTGGAGCTGCACAAGCACGTCAGCAAGGACAGTGAGTTCTGGGGGGACACAGGTGATGTCGTCCAGGACATCATCCCCCAGAGCCAGGTTCTGGAGCTCCCTGCAGCAAAGATAACCACCCTGAAGCAAAAGCAGCAGGTCTCCAGGGATGTCAGTGCCACCGAAATGAGGCTGGTCCACCTGGACCTCAAGGGAGCTGCGCCCAGAGTCTCCTACCTGGAACAGGTGAGGGGGGACCAAGGAGGGGATGCACTGACGGGACCCTGCTGGCACCTGGGCTGTGCCATCCCCAGTGCTGAGCCCACCCTGACCCACCCTGCAGGTGTTCCCCCTCCTGTCCCAGCTGGGAGCCAACGGCGTCCTCATGGAGTACGAGGACATGTTCCCCTTCAAGGGGGAGCTGGAGATCCTCAGGTCCCCGTACGCTTACAGGTGAGCAGGGCTGTGTGCCGAGCTGCCCGTGGGGCTTGTGGCCCCAATAACCACAGTCAGAGTGCCAGGCTGTGCTGCTGGGCACACCAGCAGCTCTTCCTGCCCTGGCAGGTCAATGTTGGTGCCCCTCAGTAAAGTGCACACATATGTGGGGCAACTGGGGCCATGTGGGCAGGGTGCCAGAGGAGGGGGAGGAAGGGGAACTGCCCCCACGCTGTGCCCTCTGCCCTGGCATCCCCCGCTGAGCCTGTCCTGCCCTCCCAGCGAGGAGGACATCGAGCGGATCCAGCAGCTAGCGGAGAAACACAAGCTGGAGGTGGTTCCCCTGGTGCAGACCTTTGGCCATGTGGAGGTAGAGGGTCCCAGTCCTGCTCCCATCCCAGATCCCGGGGGTTCCCCTGGACACCCCCGATGGCTCCTCCCGCAGTTCATCCTCAAGCACGAGAAGTACCAGCACCTGCGGGAGGTGGAGCGCTTCCCCAACAGCTTCAACCCCCACGTCCCTGACACCCTGGCCCTGCTCAAGAGCCTCCTGTCCCAGGTGATCGAGAAGCACCGGCGCTCCAGCTGGATCCACATCGGTGCAGACGAGGTGGGCAGGGGCTCTGCAGGGACCCCCGCGCTCGCCCCAGGCTCGGGGGGTACTCCCGGGGCTGCTGAGCATCTCCCTTCCCCCAAATCCAGGTTTTCCACCTCGGGGAGGGGATGGACTCCAAGAACTGGATGAGCCACAACAAGGGCGACGTGGGGACCATGTACCTGAAGCACATCCAGGAGGTTCTGGGCTTCCTCACGGCGCAGTTCTGGGGGCTGCGGGTGCTCATGTGGGACGACATGCTGAGGAAGATCAGCGTGGGAGCCCTGCGGGGTGAGGGCACGGGGACAGCACCGGTGGCACCTCTGCCAGGCTCCTGGCTGGCATCGTGCCCAGTGCCAGCAGGGCACGCCTTGCCCTGGGGGAAGCGTGGGGAGCCCGAGGCTCCCTCCTGCTGCCTCACCAACCCGTGTCCCCTGGCTGCTGTCCCCGCAGAGTCCGGGATAGCGCGGCACGTCTCACCCGTGGTGTGGTTCTACGCGCCCGACTTCGAGGCCGAGCAGATCGGTACGGGGACGTGCCGGGCTCCTGGGGGTGGTGGGGGGATCCCCCCGAGCCCCCCACAGCCTCCTGGGGCCGGTGGCACTGGTGGCTCGCGGCTGTCCCGCTGCAGAGCAGTTCCTCACCAAGTACGTGGAGAGCGGCTTCGAGGCCGTTTGGTTCGCCAGCGCCTTCAAGGGCACCACGGGGCCGGCGCAGGCCTGGACCCCGCTGAGCTCCCACCTGAGAAACCACCTCAGCTGGCTGAAGGTGATGCAGGCCGTGCCACGGCTGGCCCCGCTGCGCTTGCAGGGCGTCGTGCTCACCGGCTGGCAGAGGTAAGGGGTGTGGGACCCCCCCCGTGCCCTCCTGGTGCCCGCAGAGCCGCGCTGGCACGGCGCTGGCTGTCCCTGTTCCTCAGGTACGATCACTACTCGGTGCTCTGCGAGCTGCTGCCCGTCAGCATCCCCTCGCTGGCCATCTGCCTGCAGACCCTGGTGAACGGTGAGCCCCCAGCCCTGCCGGGCTCCCCCCAGCTCCCACGGCCTGCCGGACCCCTCCTGCTGGGCAGGGCACTGGGGGGACTGGGAGGCAGAGGAGGAAGAGCTTCGCTCGCTCAGCCTTGGCGGTGTGCTGAAGCTGGGGTGAGCCTGATGGTGACGTGTCCCTCGCTCTTCTGTCCCTTTCCTCGCCCTCCCAGGGGGCTTCACAGAAGAGGCAAAGAGGAAGGTCCTGGAAGTGCTGGGCTTGGAGAGCGTGCAGCTGGAGCAGAGCGCCTGGTGCGTGCGCCTGGCAGAGGCAGCTGCATCAGAAGGGATGCGCTGGAGGGAAGCAGAGCATTGGTCACACCAATGCCCTGGTCCCAGAGCTGCCAGGCTGCTGGGATTCATCCAGCTCAGTGCACTCCACGCGCTGAGCCCTCACTTCTCCTCCCTTTCCCCAGCGAGGGCAGGGGAGAGTTCCCCGGTGTGGAAATCTACCGCATGGTGGAGCAGGTTCATGGGCACCTGAAGGAGAGCATCCTCAAGGCTCTGGAGGAGGAGAGGTAACAGCGGGGGGAGCAGTGGCATTGGTGCCTCTGGACCTGTATTTCATGGGAGGGAACCTGCCTGCTGTGCAGCTTCCCATCCCCGGTGGCCCCCGTGCCCCCAAGTCCCCCGTGCCTCTCCAGTGCCATCAAGGGCTGGTTCAGCCCCTACCATCGGAAGCACCAGTTTGGGAACCCCCGCAACATGGAGAGCTTTGGCAGCAAGGTGCTGAAGTAGGTGCTGCTGGGGGCTGGCAGGAGTCTGCCCGGGGCTGGGGGGGTCCCTCGCAGGAGGAGCTGCACCCCTGCTCTCCCCCCTCCAGGCTCCATGAGGACTGGGAGGGCTTTGTCCGTGAGCTGCGTGCGCAGCTGGAGAGGATCTACTTCCCCGACACGGTGGAGGAGTGGATGGAGGAGAACGTCAACCCCTACCTGGACCAGCTGCGGGACCTGGTGCGGGACTACCGGGCCATCATCCGCCTCAAGGGCCGGCCCAAGGCCATGTAGGGGCTGCAGCCCCCCACTCCCGCTGCCCCCCGGCTTTGGGGGCCACCATTGCGTGGCTGTTTGCTGGTGGCGCTGCTGCCCGCACTGTACAGAGCCCCTGTGCCCCCTGTGCAATAAAGTATTTTTGTAGATGCTGCTGTTTGCTGGGGGCACAGCTCTGCTCCCCTGTGCAGGGACACGGAGCTCGGCTGGTGTGGAGGGATGGGCTCTACCCTGTGACAGCTCCTGGGCCCCTGCTCAGGCTCTGATGGAGCCCGAGGGGTTGGGAGCCACAGGGCAGAATGTGACAGAGCTCGTGGGGACACCCGTGTGCCTCGGCTGGCCTGGAGGGTGGCCGTGCCCTCCCTGCGCGGGATCCAGCGTGTGGCTGCATGTCCCAGGCAGGGCTGGCACCTGGGACGGAGCAGGGACAGCGAGGGGCCCTGCCAGCACTGTGGCTGCTTTCAGTGCCCGTGGAACACCGGGAGGGCTGTCAGCACAGCGGTGGCTTCTTCAGCCTCAAACTCTGCCTTCATCTCTTCCTCCTTCTCTGTGATTCCAGCACAGGGCCCCGTGCGCTCCCAGAGTCCCAGCCCGGGCAGAGGCCCCGCTGTGCTGCTCTCCCATGGAAAGGGGCTGTGCTGGGGGATCCCTGCGTGGGATGAGCCCTCCTGCTGCTGCTGCTGCCGTCTGCAGCTCCCACAGGCAGCTTTCCACGTGCCTGCTGCCCACAGTGCCCATCCCAAACCCCCCGTGCCCCCGGCTCGGCCCGTTCCGGCCGCTGCTTTCTCTGGGCATGAGCAGGGCAGCAACGGGGACATTTCACCGCACATTCTTCTGCTCTGCAAAGACCAGCCCGACTTGGCAGGAGCCCGAGGGAGCCGCAGGAACGCCAGGCTGGAGCTCAGCCCGCAAAGCCCGGCTCAGGGGGGAGGAGGGCCGGCCTCGGTGCGCCCCACCGGCCCCACGCCTGCCCCGTGGGTGCCCCGTGGGTGCCCCGCTCACAGAGGTGCCGGTGCCCGGCGGGGCCGTGGGCAGGAGCTGCCCCCTGTGCCGGTGTCTGGGTGCGGGGGCCCAGCAGGAGGGAGCCGTGGGGCACAAAGGGACCTTTGTTGAAGCGCTGCGGTTGTTATCAGGTGGTGGCAGATGCGAGGGGAGCCCCCGAGCCGTGCGGAGCCCCAGCCCCCAGCCCCGGAGCCCGGCCGCGGCTCAGCCCCGTGCGGCGCCCGGCTGCGGGATTAGAGGGCAGATTAGACGGCGTTCCGTGCTGGCAACCCAAATGTCCTGGATTGGAAAGTGGGGGTGGGGAGAGGAGACGGACCCCGCCATCCCCGAGGGGGGGTCAGCCCGCAGATGGGGGCTGCGCAGGGCACCCCTGGGCTCCAGCTCGGGGGGCACGGGGCGGGCAGGGGGCATCGGGGGACCGCTGGGTTCCCTCCTCCATCCTCCCGGCTGCCCCGGGGGCTCACACGGGGCTGCGGCTCCCGGTCCCCGGGCACTGCACCCACCTGGGGCCGCACCCCTCAGTGCCCGGTTGGCGAGCAGCCCTCTGGCCCCGTGTGCCCCACCGCCGGCTGGCTGGAGCTGGGGCTGCCCGAGGCTTTTAGCTAAGAACTTGTCCGGGAGGGCAGAAATTTGGGCTGATTTCGCGCGAGTGATGTCCGTGCTCTGCCCTGATGGCACCGCGGGGACATTAGCGCCCTGTCCATCACTGGCCCGTTTCCTATCGGGCTCCTCAGCTTCCTCAGCCCTCGGCACAGCCGGGAACCCTCCGCCACTGGAATGTCTCGATCATTTCAGCCTTAAAAGTGAAAGGGACGAATTGCACCGGCCATTGTGTCAACAAAAGTGGAAAATGACGCGGTAATGAGCGCTTTATTTACAGAAATAACGAAGGCTGCCCTTGCCCGGTTTCCGTTATCGGCACCGCAGGCTGCTGCGATGGCCAGGCGGGACCGGGAACGGCGAAGGGCACCCCGGATCCGGGCTGGGGAGCACGGGGTACCCCGGGAGGGGGTCTGCTGGACCCCCCCGGGACCCTCCCCGAGGAGGCAGAGGCCCCGAGCAGCCGTGTTGCCCCCGTTCCCTCCGGCCACCGAGACCCGCCAGCTCGTTCCACGCCACGGCTGCGCGGCGGCTCCCACCGGGGCGTCCCCCGGGCCCGGCACCGGGGAGGGGGATCCCGCGCTCCGCCCGCAGCACCGGGCGGCCCCCGCCCTCTCCTCCTCCTCCTCTTGCTCGTCCTCCTCCTCCTCTTCCTCCTCTCCCGCGCTGCCCCCCGCGCTCCCGGTGCGGCCCCCCGCCCCGCCGCGCCCCGCCCCGGGCGCCCGCCGCCGCCGCCGCCCCCGCCCCCGCCTCCGGAGCGGGCGGGCTGGGCGGGGGGGCCGCACCGTGCCGAGGCGAGCCGTGCCGAGCCGTGCCGAGCCGCGCCGAGCCGCCCCCCGCCGCCCCCGCCCCTCGCCGCGGAGGATGCTCGGGCCGTGAGCCCGCAGCCGGCAGCCCCGGCGCGGCGCAGCCATGGGCAAGGACCAGGAGCTGGTGCAGGCGGTGAAGGCGGAGGACATCGCGGCCGTGCAGAAGCTGCTGCAGAGGCCCAAGCCCGGCAAAGCCAGTGAGTGCGGCGGCGGGGCCGGGCGGGGGGCGGCGGGGTGGGGGCACAGGCGGAGGGGGGGCTCGCACGGCCACCGGCGTCGCAGCACGGGCGCGGCGGCTCGGGGCCGCATCCTAGCGCTGCTCCCGGGGCCCGGCCGCGATGCCGCCCTGCCCGCCCCGGAGCGTCCCCGGCCCGTCCCCGGCCCTTCCCCGGCCGCGGCTCGTCGCAGGCGGGCGGGGACCGTAGACGTGCCCAAGACCCCCGGCGGCACCCCGGGAGGGGCGGGGGGCGCTGCCCGGCGTGGGTCTGAGCGTGCCGGCGGGGCTCGGAGCATCCCCGGGCGCTGCGCGGGTGCGGAGCTGCCACGGTTCTCCCGCCGGTCCCGGGGCACCCCCGGCGGGGTCGGGCTCCGGCGGGGCTGCCCTTGCCCCGTACCCGGGAGCAACTCCCGACCCCCGGAGCCGGGCCCGGTGCTCCCGGGGGTTTGGGCAGGGGTCGCGGCCGGGCGCACCCGCGTGTGCGTGCAGCGAGCGCGGCGGCCCCGCGCGGGAGAGCGGCGGGGATCGCTGCCCGCGCCCCTCCGCGGGTGTCCGCGCTGCCGCGGGCGCGCGTGCGGCTGTGTTTGGGTGCGTGGGGTGTTTGCGTGGCGGTGTGTACCCTGGCATCTGTGTGTTTGGCTGGGCTGCTGGTGCTGCTCGCTGAGGGGGTGTTTGGATGTGGCTCCGCGGGTATGTCCCGGTGCATCCCTGCGGGTGGCTGTGCGCGGCTCCGCGGGTGCGTGGCGGGTGCGTGGCCAGGTGTGAGGCTGCGGGGGCGTGCGTGTGCCTCTGCGTGTGCGTCTCCGGGCGTACGTGTGTGGAGCTCCGCGAGTATCTACTCGCTGGAGGATGGAACTGCTCCGTCGAGGCGTTCCGCCCGGGACTGAATAATTCATGGTGCTGATGCAGCCGCAGGTTCCAGGCCTGGTGCCGGGGACGAGCTGCGCGGCCGGGGACCATTCCTGGCTCCGGACAGGGAGCACGGGGGGCACTCGTGTGGCTCTGGGTCACTGGACAGACAGTCCCTCCATTGCTGTGCCCACGGCCCCTCTCATCAGGGCCGGCACTCCCCAAATGTGGGCGCCCCTGGAGCTGTGCAGGTGTCCCCTGTCCCTGGTCATGCAGGGCTGCTCCTGGCCAAGCACGGCCAGCGTGCTCTCCCATGTCCTGGTGCTGAGCGGGGTTGGCACAGCATTCCCCGTGTCCCTGCTCTGCATCCAGCATGTTCACGGTGCCAACATGAGGCCAGCATGTGTTTCTTCATGCCACGCAGGGCTGGCACGGTGTCCCCCATGCCCCCAGTGCCATCCTTGCTGTCACTGCTGAGGGACTGTGCAGGGCAAGAAGAACCTCCAGCTCAGAGCCCACTTCATCCCACTCCAGACACTGCTGCTGCCGTAGCCTCCTGGGGCAGTGGGTGGTATGGGGACAACGCCTGGCCTGTGCCCAACAGTGTCCCCACACAGCCTTCTCAGGTCCCTGCTGGCCTGGGCACACAGCTGGCGTTGCTGTGGCAACAACCAGAGGTGCTTGGCTGTCACCACCTCCTCTGCATCCCTGTCCTTCCCAGCGCTCTGCTGCGTGTCCCACGGCGGAGCCCACTGGACACCGGGCAGGATGGCCACAGGGGCCAGCAGTGCTCCTGTGCCAGGACCACAGGTTAGGGACAAGGGACACCCAGTGGGGCTAACCTGGTGTTGGGGTGGATGCTCACCCCATTCCTTTGCTGGGCTGCCCATCTCCAGCTCTGCTGGACCCACTGGTGCCAGTGCTGGGCTGTTCTGGGGCCGTTTCCCCCCGGATCCCGCTCCCCCTGTGCCAGCGGGTGCCACGTGTGCGGTGGGTGCCGTGCTCCCAGCCTGGGGTGCCCAAGCCCCTCTGACCACGGCAGCGGGGCTGTGGTGGTGCGTGGGGTGGCAGAGCAGCGAGCAGGGCTGTCCCCACGCCGGGCTGTCCCCACGTCCCCTCCACGCTCCGGTCCCACGCCTGCCTGCGGCGCTCCCCGCGCTGCGCGGCACCAGCAAGATTTGTAACTTAGCTCTGTTATCTGGGTAATATCCTATTCATGTGGGGTTTAATAAACGAGATTTCAAAAATCCTTGGGTGAATTAGCGCGGGTTGCTATGGTGACATGGGGCCCCGTTTGGTGGGAGTGTGGGTTCGGGGCCCGGGCCGGCGCAGCGCACACCGCGCCTGCTTCCCGGCCATCCATAATTGATGAGCTTGTCTGAAAGTTGCGCAAATCAGATGCAGGGATTTGGCAGCAAACTGTTTCCCTCCCCGTCCCCTCCTTCTCGGTGCTACCTCGAAGAAATGTGGTGACTTGGCGTTTTCCCCTCAGCTCCGGCGCCGTGGGATGGGATGGGACCGTGGGGTGTCTCCAGGAGCACCCGTGCCCACTGTGCCATCCCTGTCCTGGGCACGGGGGAGATGAGCCGTGCTGTGCCGTGCCGTGCCATGCAGAGGGTCCACAGTGCCATGGCTGTGCAGGGTTGGAAGGAGCTGACTCCTTCCCTGTGGG